CTCAGCCTCTCCTCATAAGTCATGTGTTCTAGACCCCTAATCATTTTTGTTGCCCTTCGCTGGACTCTCTCCAATTTATCCACATCCTTCTTGTAGTGTGGGGCCCAAAACTGGACACTACTCCAGATGAGGCCTCACCAATGTCGAATAGAGGGGAACGATCATGTCCCTCGATCTGCTCGCTATGCCCCTACTTATACATCCCAAAATGCCACTGGCCTTCTTGGCAACAAGGGCACACTGCTGGCTCATATCCAGCTTCTCGTCCACTGTCACCCCTAGGTCCTTTTCCGCAGAACTGCTGCCTAGTCATTTGGTCCCTAGTCTGTAGCGGTGCATTGGATTCTTCCATCCTAAGTGCAGGACCCTGCACTTATCCTTATTGAACCTCATCAGATTTCTTTTGGCCCAATCCTCCAATTTGTCTAGGTCCTTCTGTATCCTATCCCTCCCCTCCAGCGTATCTACCACTCCTCCCAGTTTAGTATCATCCGCAAATTTGCTGAGAGTGCAATCCAGGACCGACCCTTGGGGCACTCCACTTGATACCGGCTGCCAACTAGACATGGAGCCATTGATCACTACCCGTTGAGCCCGACAATCTAGCCAGCTTTCTACCCACCTTGTAGTACATTCATCCAGCCCATACTTCCTTAACTTGCTGACAAGAATACTGTGGGAGACCGTGTCAAAAGCTTTGCTAAAGTCAAGAAACAATACATCCACTGCTTTCCCTTCATCCACAGAACCAGTAATCTCATCATAAAAGGCGATTAGATTAGTCAGGCATGACCTTCCCTTGGTGAATCCATGCTTCCCGCCGGCAGCCCCTGGGGAGCGACGAGGCTTGGGGCTTCCCTCTTGTGGCTCCAGCCCCGAGGGTGGGAAGCCCCGAGCTTCGGGCCCCTCACGGGGCTGGAGCTGCAAACGCCAGCTCGCCCTCTGCGCTCACCCCCTGGTGGGTGAGTTGAACATGTGTGGCCTGCAGGCTGGATGAAAATGAGCAAGGGGCTGGATCCGGCCTGCGGGCAGTAGGTTCCCCACCCCTGCTTTACTGGTACCAATGGGCCTTGGGTAAAATACACAGCCCCTAGCAGCACTGCTTATAGGTTAGGTGGTGAGTGCTGATTTTCCAATCTGAAGAAGTGTAAATGGAGACACTCTGCTCAAAAATTGCATTTCTCTGAAAATGTTTATCTACATTAGACTGTTATCACTGAAAAGTTAGCCAGAAATGACTTCAACAGGGAACAGGTTTAAGTGAATAAAAAAATAAGCCACTTTTAAAGTGAGATGAGCATCCATGCAGGGGTTTGCATTGGTTTAACTAAATCCGTTTAAACTTACACAGTGCAACTTTCTCATGCATCCAGGTCCAGACAGTGTCAGACAGTCTTGCCTTTCCTGAAAAGACTTGCATAAATATCAACGGGAGAGCAGAAAAGCCCTTGCATATTTTTCAGGGCATGTTTTTAATGTCAGGCAATACTGTTTAAAGGGGGCTATATTTTTAAGTGTTTAAATCAGGATTGGATGCTTTTCTGAACAATATGCTCTGGGAATTATTTGGGGGAAGTTCTATGGGCTGTGTTATACAGGCGATCAGGTGTGGTTCTGTCTGACCTCAGAATCTTTGAATATAGCAGAAATGGGAATTGTTTTAAAAATGTAGTCAGTTTAAAAAATTCGTATCGTCAGTACCCCTTTAATATCTGCCCCCAGTTATGCCTATGCCCTGATGAGAGTTGAGGCAGCCAGTTGTGCAAACAGGGTCCTAAAAGTGCAGATCAGCTCCGCAAAGTGACCTGCTCCCTGTGTGCTGCAGATTCCTATCTGCCAAAGGTTTTGCTAGTTTGACTTTCATTAACTTTGTAGATCCAGTACGTTTTCAGTGGGTGTGAAGCCAGGCTGCTCTCAGGGAAGATGATGGCCCCTTAATCGCTATGCTAGGAACATGCAGAGAATGAGGCTGTGGGAGAGGAGACAGCAGCGAGGGGAACTGTGTTAGGAAACTAAGTGGGGTCTGTGGACTGTGGAGCGCAGGAGGTAGACTGGGGGAGCAGGGGATGTGGCATGACCGAGGGAAATATGAATGGAGAGAATGTTCAAATGAATGCAGGAGGTAGGTGGGGAAGAGGAGACAGTGGGGGGAGCATTGAGGGAGAACGCAAGGCCGGATAGGTAGCTGCCCCACTCAGTAGGGACGGGGTAGAATGGTAGCTCCCTGCACCCCGTAGGATCAGAGAGTGTAAGTGACGATTGCTCCGATCAGCGAACAAGGAGGTTACGGTTTGTGTGCAAGAGAGGCTGCATTGTGACCACTCTCCAAGGGGGGACTGGCAGCTTCTGCTGACGGTGAAGAAATCTGAAGGAAAAACCACTGTGACATATTGTTTTTAATGGGTTGGGATTTTTTGGGTCTGACTTATGGCCTTGGGCTGGCCGTACTGAAACAGGTTGGAGGCCCGATGCAGAGACTGACAAGACGGTAGTGTCTGTTGGAGGCTTTTCCTTATTGCCAGTTCTGTTTGAAGGGGAGGGGGATCTCTAACTCCGCTCCTTAAATACCACAATTCCCCCCTGGGCCATCTCCTCGCTGTGCTGTGGTGCACACGCATAGCAGCCGCTAGTGATAAGGCACTGGGTGGTGTGAGCTGCATCTGAATTAGCCCACCCACGTAACCCACCAGTTGTTCTTGCTCAGGGATATGATACAAAGGAGATGCTGAGTCAGTGATGCAGCCAGCTTCGTTTCCTCCTTTCCTTTCCCAGCCTGGGGGGGGGAGGAGAAGGGGAGGAAATTAGTGTTATGTGGAGCAGCTGCTTCCACTTCGTTTTGGCATTTCAAACTCCAGAAACGTACAGTGCCAGCCGTTCATATCTCAGTCGACTCAACAGCAGCTAAATGCAGATCTTTTGGTGAAGAAAAGCATGCTCCAGTTCACTGGACTTGAAATGCCAGCTTTGCTGGGAGGTTCTTTGGGGAAGGGAGAAGTCGCACTGTTTCATCTGCCCAACATACCTAGTGCTTTTGAAACCTTAGAGCAGAAGGAAAGAGTCCAAAGGAGTTCTTCAGTCACAGAATCCAGTGAGGTTGCTTAGCTGTGGAGAGTGAAGCCTGGACCGTCAGGCTGCTCTCAGGCACTGACATTACCTTGGGACAGATCCCTAGCCGTGTCCTGAGAGGTGTTGCACCAGCATCTACTGCTGTTCTGTTTTATTATATCTCACATGGCAGCTGGAAAGTGTGGCCCACCATTTAGCACTCATTAACAAGTGCATGAAACTAAACAAGCCAGAGTTCTGGCTCTTCCTCTCTCTGTGACCAGGCAGGATTTCAGGAGCCTCGAAGTGGCAAGTAATCAGTGTGGCCACCTCTCGGAAATTCCACTCTGCCTTTATTCGTTTTAACTCATAACAGGAGGTGGCATCCCTGGCTCCAGCATAGGCTCCCATATGGTCAGGCTGGAAGGAACTGCTTGGCACGTGTCGTCCAGTGTCATGTATCAAAGAGAGGACCCGTGGCCGTCTCTGCAATAAAGTTCTCACCTATCCTTGAACTTTTCTGACTGTCGCTAGTTACTGAGCTGTGTTTCTCTGTGTGATAGCGCTCGGGCAGGAAGTTCAGTTTTTCCCTTAGGAACTTGGGCCCATTTTGCTCCTTGGTGTACCATGATGGGGCCCTAATGTGAATAGTTAGCTACAAGGCAACAGAATAAAGCAGGGAGATATATTTACTGTCAGTGGTTCCCAAACCGTGGGCCTCAGATCACCACTGGTTCCTGGCACGCTTGCTGCTGGTCTGTGGACAGTGGTCTGGTCACATGATGCCACCTTTGCTCCTTGTTTCCAGTGACTGTATCACACTGACTCCTCCTAGCTTCCTGCCTAAGCGATTGCTGTAGGTGCCCCACGGATGTGATCATGAACCGGAGAAGTGGCCAGGAGACTCTCTAAGATGTCGTCCACACAATGAAATATTTGGCGAGGCCTTGCTCTGCGTGTTGTCTCCCCTCATTCTGCCACATGCCATGGAGATTGGATACCTCACAGCACCATTTTGAGAATCTCCAAAGGTTTTGATTGGGTCAGGATTGGTATGGGGCTAACTTAAATGGCATTCATTTGCTTGTACTGTGTACAGTGACCATCTCCCCATACTTGAATCACATCGTCTCAACCCTCCAGGAGCTCTGAATGATGTGTTGGTTGATGTTTGGAGAGACTGTCACATTGGCATAGCCACTTGGAAATGAAATTGAACCCAGGTAGTGAACTTGCTGGTTTGGTTGGCATCATTGGCGAGCTGAGTCAACTACAGGACCCTCTTACTACCCCACCTGCTGTGCTGGACAGCCCTTGTCGCGGGGCTGATTGAGGGGGTCCTGCATCCTTCCCCTTTTGCCCAGAGGTGCAAGATGTTTGGATAGCAGCTATCTGTCAGGGTGTGGGGAAATGAAGGTGAAAGGGTTCCCTAGAATAGAGAGCTGGAGAGCCTGTCTGGACCAGGTCTAGTCTAGTTGGGTTAGTTGTGGTAAAGGGGAGTCCTCCTCCAAGATGCTGGCATGGGAGCTCTCCCATCTGTTGTGTATCTTGTAGTCACCTTTCTAATGCAAACACTTGTCTTTCAGTCTTTGTAACTGTCCCGGCTCCTGCATTGTGGTAGAGATCACACAACCCTCTGGAAGAATAGATTGACAGGTCACACATGCTAGTTGTGACATAGATCTCAGTCCTTCGGGAAGGCAGCCCAATGTGCTGGTTTCATGCCACGCCTTTTCGAGCAGCAGGAACTGGGCTCTTGAGCCTGGAGGCTGTCACCAACCTAGAGCAGCCATAGTTGCCTCTTGCCCCTTTTATTACAAGTCATGGTTTTAAAAACTAGCTTCCCCTGCCCTTGGAGCCCATCCCTGAGGGCCAGAGACAAACCCATGTGCTCCTCTTGGAGCCCATGGGAAAGGGTTGGGAAGCATTAATGTGACTTTCTTTCTTTTTTGCAGTCAAATCTCTATCCCACTGTGGGGCTGCAGACACCAGGAGAAATCGTAGACGCCAACTTCGGGCAGCAGCCGTTCGTGTTTGACATTGAGGACTACATGAGGGAGTGGCGAGCAAAGATTCAGGGCACCATTAAGCGGTTTCCCATAGGAGACAGACTAGGCGAGTGGCAAGCAATGCTGCAGAAGTGAGTCTCTGCTGCAGTCTTTCTTTCTTCTACTTTTCTTGGCTTAGACGTAGCACCAGTCTGACAGATACTGCAGAATGAGCAATGGTAACGTGAATTCTGTTGTGCTCCCTTACACTGTGTGACGATACTTTGTGCCACAGTCCAGGGAGGCCGTCTTAGTATTTAGAGGCAGGCTCTTGAAAGCATCACTAAGCGTTCTCTTGGTGAAGATCCGAAACCTGATCTGCCATTCCTGCCCTGCTCAGGATGAAACCCTTTTCCGCTCCGATCTTTAGGAGATATGTCAGGGTGAGGAGATTAAGGGATTGGTGTAAACAGAGTTGAAGGCCTTGTCTACACTTAAAACTTAAGTCAACGTCACTATGGTGCTCAAGGGTGGGAAAAAGCCACACCCCTGAGTGCTGGAGCTAATCTGATCAATCCCTCAGTGTAGGCACAGCTAGGTTGATGGCAGCATGCTTAGGTGTGGGTGCACTAAAAAGCTAGGTTGACCCTAACTGAATGTTAACCGTAGCATTTCAAGTGCAGACGAGCTTCTGTCAGGTAGGTAGGTGGTGTTCCTACAGTGATGGGAAAACCCCTTCCGTCGTCATAGGCTGCGTCTGCACCTCAGGGTTATGCCAGCTTAGCAGCAGCTATGCCCCTCTAGCCGCTGTAGGGTAGACATGGCTTAATTCAGCCCTTTGGAGACACAACTCTTAAGGGAACTCATGGAGTCCACATCAGCTAGGCACTCGGGATTGTTTCTTTGGTGCTTTTCCTCAAGGCCTCTACAAGCCTCACTTTTAGTCTTGTGCCCATGAACAGGGCAAAACTCGGCTCCTCTTGAGGCAGCCAGCCCTCCCTCTCCTCCCCCGCAGTCAGTTGCAGGGTCATTAGCGAATGCATAATGCAAGTTTGCCCTCATTTGCTGCGTAATTGGGCTCCAAAGACTAAGCTGCCATTCTTCTTAAAAGTGTCTGGTCCTTCTGGCTCTGAAATGAGCCTTTCAAAGGTGGACAGTGTCTGCCTGAGTCTGCAGACATCCTGAAATGACAGCACTGAGGGGTGTGAACTGTCTCAACGGGCTGTTTGAAACGTAATGACCATTTACATGCCAATGTTTACTTCACTGCTGATGGTTTTGGTAAAACATCATGCTGATGTGCTTATCCAGATGTGTGGCTCTGAGCAGCAAGTTACAGACATGGTATGTTGGGACAGCTGTGAAGAGCTATTCATAGAGAATGGAAAATGAATTCCATTCCCTTTCCCACTCTGAGTGCGGGCAGGGGAGGGAAGGAGGAGATGCTTTCAATATGGAGGAGATGATGTCTCTACTGCTTCCTGGGGGCCAGGAGCCCAAACAGCCTCCCACATTTTCTCAGTGCCACAGGCTCCAATTTGCCCTTCACCTGGGAATCCACCTCCTGTTTTCCCCAGGACAGTGTGCTCGGGACAGTTACGTGGTGCCCGATGCAAAATCTGCAGCATACTGAAAATTGTAAAACGAGAAATGTATTGAATTTAGTAACAGAGATCACAGGAGCTCCTGTACTGGTTAGGAGTGGGCAGTGGGCGGGAGGGCTGGGCATGGTGACATGAGAGGTCCTGGGGGGCAGTGACACGTGAGGGAGGGGTAATTTGGGTGTCATGTGCCACACAAGACATGGAGCCTTGTCAGAAAGGAATGCTGGCCTAGCCCTCCTTGCAGGGGGCAGAGTGCTCTGTGACTGTTTTCTCCAGGTCTCTTCCAGTCCAGGAACAAAGGAGCTGGAGTCCTGAGCTCCGGACATGTAATAAACTCGTCACCTCATGGAAACACGAGTCCCTCCTCCGTGGAGAGGGCTAACCAGGGATCAGCTGAGGGCATTGGCGAGTCAGGCCACGTCTACGCTGGGAATGCTTTGGAATAGTGGTGTACCATGCTGGGACAGCGCTGCTCGACTGAACACAGCTACACTGGCCAAGTAAAACCTCCCCTTCTGAGTACAACAAGCCATACCAGTAAAAGCACAGCTCTGGCAGTATGGCTGTGTCTACCCTAGGGACTTCTGCTGGCACAGCTGTATTGGTCGGAGATCACACCTCATAGCACCCCTGACCGACAGCTACGCAACCAGACATCTGTAGTGCCGATAGGCATGCTTTGTAATTTCAGTAGCTGCTGTTTGGTCTGAGAGCAGCCCACCAAAACAAGCCAACAGGATGTGGTCTGTCCTCCAGGAACTGATCAGAAATGTGAGTGTCCTGCAGAACTGACCCCCGCGTATCAGGCCCACATGCCACAGAGTCCAAAAAACTCTCTGTGCCCTGAACTCCTGGGTATTACATTCTGAAAGGCACGTACAGAGACAGTGTGGTCCAGGGGAATTGACTGGATTGGGCACATGTCCGCAAGGTGAATGATCACCTGTGCTTGGAGAAGGAAGCTTGGTGTGGCAGCGTTCCTGAAAGGGACACCTCCCCCTCTCCCACCACATACACCAGTTTTCACTTGTAAGAGTGGTTGATAAAGGGATGCAGCCACTAGCAAGGGCTGCATATTGATAAATAATTCTTCCTTCACGTTATTCTGATCCCCTGGTGTCCATGCTGACTGATTTTAGCCACTGCCATGGAGAATCTAAAATAGCGTGAAATGTAGCTGAGCTGGTGTGGCTGGCAGAGAGAGATGTGTAGGATCTCAACACTGGTAATGCACCTGAAGTGTGCCTGATGGCATCTCGACAGAAACCAGAGGTACAAGACAGCAGAGGAAGGAAGCCAGCCTAGATGAGCCAGAAAAGCCCCCAGCACTGCAGGCTGTACCCAGGTGCGCTCCATGCTTGTGCTCTGAGCACTCACTTTAAGGCGCATAGCCCTACCTGTAGTGTTTCTGTAAGTTCTGTGTCTACAGTCCCACCAGCACGTTTGGCTTTGGGGATGTTTATCAGTCTGGCACCAAAGACAAGACCTGGTCTAGCCTGGGACTGTGAAGATCATTAGCCTTGCCTTGCCTTAACATGAAAGCAGCCTGCCAGAGCAGCCAGCAGCAGTTTATTTTGAGACCATGTAGCACGTTCCTCAGAGGAGCAACATCTCTCAAACGTTTCAGGAGCTGTTCCTGGCTGGACATGTGGCACTCAGCTAGCCAATGCAAAGCATTGTATTGCGGTAAATATGCAAGGCATCTAACCCGTGAGTTGGTGCTGGTAGTAAACTAGTACAAAGGACAGGGTACTGCACTGGTCAGTTGACAGGGGTGGCTGCTGAGAGGCTGTGATGCCAAGGACAGAAATATAAGAATGCGGGGCAGCTCTGATTTCCTTTAGCTGTATAGTGCAGTTTAAATACTTATGGTAAGGAGTTAGATAGCTCTGGCAATTGGATTCAACTTAACAGAAAGCCAGCCCAGTTCTTAGCGTTTCAACCGTAGTCTAACTTGGCCATCTTAATGAGATGTTTGCTGTTATGTCCCAGGTTACTAGACATTCGAGCTTTTATTGATCCTCACTGCACTGCAGTCATTACACTTCCCGAGCCTGGGGCTCTGTGTAAAGTATGGGATGGGTTCAACAGACAAAGTCATCTTGGTTGTTCCAAACTTCTGATCAGGAATCCGAAAGAGTTAAGCCCATGATGTTATGCTACCAGACCAGCCTCTTGGGCTATTCTGTGCCAGAATTGCAGCATGTAAACTCACTCTATTTCTGACTTTAATCATGAGACACTCAGTCACACACATGCTGCAAACTGTCTTCCAAAATTTTGGCATGAAATGATTCAAGCTTCTGCAGTGGCACCAGGACTGTCTTTACAAGTTTTTCAGACAGTTTGGTGGTAACTACTACCATTTGTTTCCAGTGTGGCTATGTCTCTATATTGCCTTGCTGTAGTGAAGAGGTTCCCAGATAGGGAACCCAAAGATTAGCTGTTGAAAGAGCTATTAAAAATAGACAAAAATTCTTTGGGTTGCAGCTCATTCACTTGGAGTTTGCCTTTGGGCGCAAAAGATGGCCAGAAAGCTGGAGAGAGGCTGGCTGTGAAGAGGGATGGCTGGTCAGCACCTTCTGCAGTGCATACCAGGCAGGCTGGTGTTACAGTACTGTGTGTGGTTGTGACAAGGAGGATCCTGGCGAGTACTCGCTTGCCCTCTAATAGCAGTGAATGGAGTCCAGTCTCAGAGCAAGTCACTGGGCAGTTTTTTAAAATAATAAAGCTGTTAATCCCATCTGAACTGCAAATGTGTTGCTGTCTCCCAAAAATATTTCCCTCCTATAGAGAGAGTCATCAGTTTGAAAATCCATTCTGGCCCTGTCTCATTGGTCAGTCTTAATCAGCAGCCAGCTTGGTGGAGAAGCTATTTCCAAGCCAGTTTCCAGGCCACCATTTAAGGTGTTGATGAAGTCTACATAGCACTAACATTTAAATGACAGAGACAATGAGAAGGCGCAAGATGGATTCAACAAGGAAAGGTCCCTGCTGTCACTGGGGAGATATATTTCTACTGCGTATATTGTCTGACATCACAGTGAAAATATTTGTTTTTACTTCCAACGTTTAAGGATGAAAACATAATTCAGAAATCAGTAATGCATGTGCTAAATAAGTGCTCAAATTTTGACTGTATGGTAAATCACTTGTTAGTGTCTGGAAGTAATATAAATATGAAGGCATCCATTCAATTATCCGTTGCGTTGTTGAAAAAAGCATTTAATGATCAGAACTCAGGACACCTGTAACTCAGCTTCTCGATGTCATGGTTTTTCTGTCTGTAAAATGCCGATCCTGGTCTGCTTCCAAGGAGATTGAGGCTAAATTAATTAGTTTGTAAACTGCTTTGAGATCTTTGTACAGAAAATGCTGAGTTAGTAAAGATCAAAACAAAGCAAAAGCTCTTATGGTCCTGAATGGCTTGTAGCATTGGTAATGGAATGTGGAATCTTTCCCTTTTGGGTCACATGTCCATGTCCAGCCCAGGTCGATTATAATAAGATAAATATATCTGATGTCTGTTTTTAGATGATTTGGGGGGCCTCAGGCCAATTCCCAGTGGACAGGGTTTATGTTGCAGTTAGCACTGATTGGACCCCAGGAACAAGACACTGGTTGTGTTCGAGCAGGGCTGAGCTGAGTAGCTTTCCCTGATGCTGAAACTGCATCAGCACCTGTGTTGACTTCCCTCCCCTCCTTCCTGTGGTTCCTCTGTTTTAGTGATGCATATCATGCTGTTTTTATTTTCTTATTTCCTAGTATGGTGTCTTCCTACCTGGTTCATCATGGGTACTGTGCAACAGCGACGGCCTTTGCCAGAGTGACAGAAACCACAATCCAGGAAGAACAGACCTCCATAAAGAACAGGCAAAGTAAGACTCCGTAGAGCACTCTTCTTCCTTAGGTTCCATCTCCAAGTCACAGCCCTTCCCTTCCCATCTCTCTCCTTCACCTCTTAGGCTCCTATCCTTGCAAACTCATGGCCTAGCAGCTTGGCACATCAGGATAAGAGTTGCTCCAGGGCAGGAGGTACTTGGAGATGGGGCCCAGTTCTGGAACAATGTAGCTGATTACATTTACTGTTAAAGAGCTGATCTCCCCTAACATTTGCACTGAGACCCCAGAGATATCTTTAATTTGGGGCTTTAGACTCCTGCTGGCAGCAGTCTCGTTAACTTGATTCTAAGGGCTGGGGCCGTAGAGGCCTTAATGCATCTGCCTGGTTTTACTGTGGCACCCATTACAAAGGAATCAAGCCAAACCCTGGTCAAATTCACTTCATGTTTTCTGCTTCTGAAGGGCTTTGCAGTGAGCAGAGCTGGGTAGAGAGCAATGCACCACACCTGTCTGCTTTGCCTGCTACATCAGCTTATAGAATCATAGAATATCAGGGTTGGAAGGGACCTCAGGAGGTCATCTAGTCCAACCCCCTGCTCAAAGCAGGGCCAATCCCCAATTTTTGCCCTAGATCCCTAAATGGCCCCCTCAAGGATTGAACTCACAACCCTGGGTTTAGCAGGCCACTGCTCAAACCACTGAGCTATCCTTCCCCCCCTTCACCTCTTAATGTCCAGGCCACCAGCTTCCACAGGCATGAAATGTGCTGCTTTGTTTTCTTTGAACCATTCTAATGAACTTGCTCGTGGAAAAATACATCTTTGAAGAGAACCCTCCCTGGATCCAGGGAACTGGATTATTAAGGACTTGGAGAGCAGTTGGAATGCAGTCTTTAGAATCCCCCTGATTTTTTTTTTTTTTTTTACAGAATCGCAGAGCATTGGGTCCAGTCTCGCATCTTTTTCCATCTTCTCCTGGCTGATTTCCATTTTCATCCCCTGATGCTCTGCTGTTCTGTCCTCTGCTGCATGTGCCTCCTTCCTCCTTGTGATCTGTCTCCCACGCGGCTATTATGTCATGTCACACCTATGTTACATTCCTCTGTAGTTGTCTGGAACACACATTTCTTATACACACTCAATGCGTGTTCAGGCTGGAAGAATCCTCTGCCCAGCAGCCTGGGATGACCTGCAGTTGCTGCCCAGCGCTGCACCTCCCTCCACAATGCCCATGCAAGGATTATGACTGTCCACTTCTCTGCTGACAGGCCACACCTAGAGCAGCAAAGCAGAAACAGTTTGAAATGGACAGCACTCTGCCCTGCTGCCACTTTGATGAGAGAGGGAAGAGGCTGCAAAGCAGGAGAGCTTTTTGTAGATTTCAAGCTGCTTTGATGTCATTGATTTTATTAGTACGTGGGTTATCTGCCCAACCTGATGGGGATATCTGATGTGGGGTAGGAGTGCCACAGTCATCTGTGGGAAAGGAGACTAAACAGGAAGTGTGTTAGAGAAGGAGATGTCTCTGTGTCCCGGTGAAACTGAGACCGATTAAAATGGGCTCTGTAAGATACAGGCAAATCAAGAGAGGAACAACACAGATAGGGAGACAGAAATAGAATCGAAGGAGGAGAAGCATCAAAGGCAGAGAGAAACCAGTGAAAGCCTGCAAACCAGAAAAGCAAGAGAGGGGGAAAGAAAGGCAGTGAAGAAACTGCTGGCTGGTGTGTGACCACGAGCGTGGTGACCTGGCGCTCAGAGAATCACAGAATATCAGGGTTGGAAGGGACCTCAGGAGGTCATCTAGTCCAACCCCCTGCTCAAAGCAGGACCAATCCGCAATTTCTGCCCCAGATCCCTATATGGCCCCCTCAAGAATTGAACTTACAACCCTGGGTTTAGCAGGCCAATACTCAAACCACCGAGCTATCCCTCCGCCCACTGAGCTATTCCTCCGCTCCTGCTTTGTATCCCTGAATCTTTTAAAACGTCCAGATTGTCAGGTTTGAACCAGTTCAGTCTTCATTGTTCCTGGAACCAGCTTCCTGAGATCTTGGTGTGCAGCTGATTTGGGATTGTGCCTCTGTAGAGAGAACCCAGAATGGTCCAGGCCCTTGTTTCCCCCAGCAGCCTGATGGGCCCTGACCAGGCTGCCATTCCCTGCTTAACTTCAGTAGCTTGCTAATGTTCTGAATAAAAGAAGCCTTTGGTTAAGGCTCAGCACCCCACCCCTTCACTTAGGAAGTTACAGGCGCACAATGCACATCCCTTGCATCTCCCACTGGTTCTCCAGCAACTCCTGATATTTCTGAGGTATCAACAAATCCCCTGCCTGTCCTCTCAGGCTTTCTTTCAGTGCACAAATGGCATAAGCTCAGCTCTACCTAGACTCTTGGCAAGTGACCATTGGAGATGTGTCTCTGGGGGCATGAGGGATCTGTGGGGGCTCCGTGTGTCATCTCAGTGAGCACAGTACCTGCTGTCACTGGGCTTTCCTTGGTGCCAATAGATCTCCTCTTGCTTGCAGGAATACAGAAGCTAGTCTTAGCAGGCAGAGTGGGAGAGGCTATAGAGGCCACGCAGCAGCTCTACCCTGGCCTCCTAGAACACAACCCTAACCTGCTCTTCATGTTAAAGTAAGTATGTTTAGCTTTGTGCTGGGAGATGCCACTGGAAAGTCTACAGAGCCGAACCAGGCAGTCCACAGGCCTCACTGTGTTAGGAACCAACATAGTTCTTAATTCAGGCAGATTGAGGCCGCTGTTAAGAGCGGTTACCCTGTGAGCAAGGTAGGAAGGAACGCTGGCTACCCTTGTTAGCACTGCTCAGGATCCGTAGCTGTTGCTGGTCAGGCTTTGCCATGTCCTATCAACTACAGAGGGGCGAACTAGGCACCTTGCTGGCTTGACCCATTCTGCCTGCCCCACAGAGATCCCCTCCACCTGAGCAAAATGCCAGGTCTGGGGAAAGCCCTGCGGCCATGTGGAAGTGGTGCAGATTCCTACCCCGGTGTATTACCACTGCCTTTGGTCTTCCCAGTCCGTCCTGTTGTTTACGCAACATGAACGTGGTAAAGTTCGGTTCATCCCCACTTACAGCCTGCTGAGAAGTGTGGGCGCGGCTGTGGGGATTCTTAGAAAGAAGCTGGTGTGGAAAAAGGTGGAGTTAAAGCAGAGACAAAGGGAAAGTAGGAATTGGTGTGTGTTGGTGTCCTGAGTTATTCAGGGCTGGTTCATGTGTCCTCTTACTCTCTGCTTACCCTAGGATATGGAGTATCTGTCAGCTCCCAGTAGAGCGGAGTGGAGAGCTAGGCCTTTGCCAACCTTTCTCTGTAGATGAGTGTTTTTACCTTATATTGTCTTCTCTTTTGTAGTGGCCCCCAGCATAGGTTGGTTGGACGGTGTGGGAGGTGCAAAGTTTGGTGCACGCTCTATGGTAACCATTTGTTGCCATGGACAGCACAGTGGAAATCACCTTTTCACCTTGGGCTTAGAGAGAATACCTGTGATGCGAGGAACATTAGCCATGCAGTGCGATATACCCCCAGTTCCTTGGCTTGCACTCCCTGTGTGAATTCTGGTGGGTTCAGATCAGTGCAGACATTTAAACAGTTGGTTAACTAGCAGGAATAGTGTCTGAGCACTCAAAGTTACCTTGCCCCAGGAGTAGAATGTCATAATTGCTCCCGCTGTTTGGAATCAGTGCCTCATCCCCCTCCCCCTGCCCCCTCACCCCCAATCCTGTGGTATCTTGTGCTTTCGTAGCCAGTGCTGTTGATACTGTAATATGGTCTCTGTCCATGTCTCAGAGTGTGATCTGTTGCCTTGGCTGATCCAAGCTGAGATGCAGCATTTTGTCAGTTACATGTAGAACACACTTAATCGGCTAATACTGGGCTGGAAGCTACAGTGTAGGTATCTGCTCTTGAAATGGTCTTGTTTATGTATCATCTTTTGTCCATCCTTGTACAGGTCTCCAGGTTCATTAGCATCTGTTTCTAGGCAGCAGTATCAAAACTCCCTTCCTACTCCAGCATTCCCGACTTGAAGACACGGGGAGACTTGAGATGCCCTCTTCAGAGCTAGGACCCCTCCTAAGCTTTGGTTGATCCCAGTTTGCTGCTGCTCTGGGACGTATGATAGCAATCACTAGAAAAGCACCAGCACTGAATCTAATTCACATCACCCTCCCCTTCCTCCTCGGTGTCTCCGCCCTTGTCTGACACAGGTGCCGACAGTTTGTGGAGATGGTGAATGGGACAGACAGCGAAGTGCGGTGTTTCAGTACCCGCAGCCCCAAGTCACAGGACAGTTACCCAGCATCCCCCAGCCTAAGCCCCAGACACGGATCGAACAGCTCGCATGCTCACAGCGCTGGTAAGTGCTTTTCTGTCCATCTCCACGTGAAGCAGGTCAGGTCTTGGGGATGGGTCACTTTGTACACAACCTGCTGGGGTCTGTCCTTTGCTCTTTGAAAGACGTCTGTCCTCCTAACCCCAGCAGGAAAGATTTACTGTTACTGGAGGTGATCTTTCTGACAGAAATGGCATACTGTTGATTTTGAATCAATTATTTTAACAGAGACTAGGTTGTACAACTGCCTTTCGCAGAAGTTGCTATGTGGAAGCTGACAGAATATTCTTCAAAAGGACTGCCTCACAGAACAGTCCTCGGGCAGAGCTATATAAGCAAAGGCCTGGCTCGCACAGCTTGTCTCTTCGACCGCAGGGCCCACAAGGGATAACCGCTCTCCTATGGACTTCCTAAAGTCTCCAGGAGAACCTCCCCCTCCTTCAAGGTGTCCAGTGCACTCACCACTGCTTTCTCCTCTCCAGTACCCCATCCCGTTTTCTATTTGGAAGCCAGGCTAAGCAAAGAAGTGAGATGAATACGCTTTGCTACAGGCTTTTCATGTGTAACAACAATGTGTTAAAATGTGTGTCTAGGAATTAAGGACTTACAGTTTACAAGCAAAACAAGTAAGAGCGAGGGGCATAAAGTGCTTGCCGAAGATCAAAGCAGAGGGTGGAGATGGACGGAGTGGGCCAGGGAGCCAGAGCTGCTTTGTTTGAAGCTTTACATTCCCAGTGGAGAAGTCCCTTGCTGACACTCAAGCTGTCTCCACCTGACAGTCAGAGCTGCTCCATGTGAAAAGCTGAGGGTGCTAGAAGGAGAGAGCTGGAGCATACATAAAAACGGTCTCTGCTGGGCATGCAAAGGCTTAAATGAAGGGGAGACGATTAGCTGAGCAACTCCATAGCCCCACTCCCTTCAGCCATGTTTCCAGCCTGGGGCCTCAGCCCCTGTTTGTCTTGAGACTGGATGTCTTTCTGAAAAATAGCTAACTCAACCACAGGATGTGGACTCAGTGCAGTAATCCCAGGTTGAAATTCTCTGGCCTGTGTTATCCAGGAGGTTGGGTGGCTGATCAGAACCATCCCTTCTGGCCTTAGAATCTGAGTGTCTCTGTGGTAATGGATTTTTGCAACTAGGAAATTCCTACATAATAAACTCAATGAACATTGAGTTAAGACAGACTTCACCTCCGGCCTTGTCCCGGTCCACACACGAACATGCTGCTGTCGCGGCGCTTGATCCTGTCAGTACACAGAGTGGCTTTCAGAACAACGTTAGCCCCTTCAGTGCACACGTCAGTGAGCTGACACCAACTCAGCAACGCACGGCCGTATCGTCAGCCTGTGATGCATTTTGCTGTCACATTATGAATGCACACGTGAAGTGGCAGGCATGTATTGTCCTCACTTGTGAGTCTGTAGGATATGTTGCAGAGCCAGTCTGATGTTTTGACAGACATGTCTGTGCATGTATATATAATACAATTGGTTAGTGGCAGATGAGGCTCTGCATATGTAATCAGTGCTGTCATCTGTGGTACCAGGCACATGGTGATAGTGTTGTGGGCCTACATCTCCTTTCGCTTGCTCCTGTAACTTCCAAGTGAGGAGAATCAGATTAGTCATTTTAAGATGTCAGTAAATTATAAACAAGTGTCACGTGGCAGGTTGGTGTTGAGTTGCCTATGTCCCATTATACCATGTTTCATCCTATGAAGTGGAGTTTGCAGTTTGGGGGAGGTTTTTAAAGCTTCTTCAGCTTTAATTCTCTTGCAGCAGGTGGATTTTGGCCTAGTTTTTTACCAGTGCACTGAACATCTAGATTTCTTCCCCAGGTGTGTTAGAGGGATGAGAATTCTGGTTTCAACGAAGACAAACTTCGTGGGCTGCTTGTCTCATGTGCTTCTCTTTGGGATCCTCAGTCCCTCAGGTGTCTGAGCTGGTTGGGGCGGATCTTATCCGCTGGATTGTTTCTCACAATCACTGAAGCACAGGTGTTGCAAGTGGGCGCTGCTGCTCATTTGGGGTTTGCTTGTGTTTTCCTAACACTGTGCTCAATGTAAAAAGCAGCTCTAGTATTTTGTGAATTGCAGCCTGCCCCTATTTCCCTCCCCTGGGGCCTGCTCCTCAGTGAAAGGAGCACAAGCAATGTCTCCTGCTGCTGACTTCAGCCCAGAGCTGCCTAGCCCCTCCCCTCTGACACCTCTCTCCTTGGCTTTCAGGAGCAGACAGCCCAAGCTGTAGCAACGGAGTCACATCCACAAAAAGCAAACAAAGCCACAGTAAATATCCAGCACTGAGTTCATCGTCGTCCTCTTCCTCCTCTTCCTCTCCTTCGTCGGTGAACTACTCTGAGTCCAATTCAACAGACTCCACCAAATCCCAGCAGCATAGCAGTACAAGTAACCAGGAGACCAGGTATTCCTTGCTGTGCCTTTCCCACGCCTGGGCAGGCAGGGGCTTAGCCTGCTTTCTGAGCACCTCATCAGCCATTCGGTCAGCGCTCTTTCCATCACTGGGGTAACCATGAGTAGCTATAGGCATCACTGCTGAGCAGCCAATGGCAGGTCGTCTTCCACACTCTCCCTCCCACCTTGGGGCTGAATTGATGCTGCCCGTTCCCGTAGGAGAAGCAGGATAGCCTTGAGTAAACAGTCCCCAAATGCCTTTGGGGCAGATGTCCTGCCAGGGTGATGCTGTGACTGTCCCAAAAGGTAGTCTAAAAAGCAGCAGCCCTGCCACGCATGCTCCTGCACTCTCAGCCGAAGGATTTGCTTATGGACAGCACAAGGGCCTCCTTCCTCCAGGAATCTGTGTGCTCCCGCGGGGAATAAAAGACTGAGCTGGGTGCAGGAAGCAGACCTGAGTCTTCTGCACGGCAGCCCAGACCCTTGTCACTTAGACGTGTCCCTTTTGCATGGGGTCACATTCTGTTCACTGGACCAGTTCATTAGATGCTGGTGCCATCGGGCCAAAGGGCCCTGTGAATTACAGGCATCTCCATTGAGTCACGGGGGGTTTCAAGCCTGGAAGGTCATTATTGCTGCATTTATTGGGGTTTGAAATAGACATAAACTATCAGGGTTGGAAGGGACCTCAGGAGGTCATCTAGTCCAACCCCCTGCTCAAAGCAGGACCAATCCCCAACTAAATCATCCCAGCCAGGCCTTTGTCAAGCCTGTCCTTAAAAACCTCTAAGGAAGGAGATTCCACCATCTCCTTAGGTAACCCATTCCAGTGCTTCACTACCCTCCTAGTGAAAAAGTTTTTCCTAATATCCAACCTAAACCTCCTCCACTGTAACTTGAGACCATTACTCCTCATTCTGTCAAATATGCTGACCAAGCGTGAGAGCTGAGTTTCCTCTCTGCTTAGCTGTTTTGGTGGCTGCTGCGGGGCTCCCTAGGACATGTTGGGGCAGAGATCTTTGTGATTAATGAGGGGTCCTCAGCAACTGCCAGCTGACATTCAGACTCACTAAGTGGATTGCTAAATACCATGGTCAGGGAAGCCTCTAGCTTCCACTCTGAACTCCACATGGTTGTACAGCTCATAACTGAGTGAGAGACATCACATACTGGAGTCCTACAAATCATCTGCACAAACGCTGGGTAATGACAGCTCTATGCCAGCGGGGATGGCGTAGATCTGAAACACAGAGAATCTTTGAACTCTTGAGTTCAAGTCCTGGTGGATCATCTCATCCCTTCAGCCTTCTGAGTTAGAGCAGTGGAGGTCTCCTGCAATTTGCTGTGTAGAGGTCTTGAAACCGTGGCCCTGTCTGCTCTGCGTGGATATTAAAGAACCTGTTGGACACTTTTTCTAGGGCTGATGGTTTGCCTCAGTGCTCTTGGCTAAAATTTCCCCTGTATTGTGTAGAGTGTTGTGTGTTGCTTGGCTGCTGTTCTCCACCCCAGAAGTGGCTGCAATTTGAAATGTTAAATTAAGTACTTCACACCTTCCCTCCTCCGGGACCCCCTTGGGTTCGAACCGCACTTTATAGATAGAGGCCTTCGTTGTTCTGAACCTGGTTTTGCCCTGCTGGATAGATTGTTTTCTTGTCTCCTGTGGGCTACTGGGTGTCTAGCCCTGGCAGCCTACTGGTTGGCCATTGGGCACGCTTCCTTCTGTAGGACTTTCCCTTTGGGGAATGTTTCTGCCCTTTCTAAGCCCTCAGGCTTTTCTTTTCCTTTTGCACCCCAGTGACAGTGAGATGGAGATGGAGGCTGAGCATTACCCCAATGGAGTCCTTGAAAACTCCTCCACCAGGATAATGAATGGCACCTACAAACATGAAGAGATCCTCCAGACGGATGAGTCCAGCATGGGTAGGGCCCTGGAAGGAAGGAGTGCTCTCCTCTCCCTCACAAAAAGTTAGCGGGGGAATGGCACTGCTGACACATGTATTAGCTCTGTCTGGGACTGGATCAGGGTTGGGCATTGCCCTGTGGGTCTGTTCCTCAGCCCAGGGTGCAGGCATGAGATTCTCGGGATCTCTGATCTGGGGCGGGGGGGAGAAACCATCTGGGAATTGAACTAATCTAGACTTTTTTGGGGGCCAGGTGCTTAATACTGATTTAGACAGGGCTGGGCAGCTGAGTTTGCTCACTGACTTGATACATGGGGTGGGGCTCCCTTTACAGGGGAGTCAAACAAAAGGCCTAATTTTTCAGGGCATCCTGTGTGCAAACTGCCAGTAAAGATGACGTGTGTTAGACCTTCACCCTGGGGGATCCTACTGCCCTGGAACTCCTGAGGTGCGGGATGCAGAGGGCTAATCAGCTGGCTGGTGATGGGGCAGTGGAGGCCAGAGCCTGGTCAGCAGTCACATCCAGCTCAGAACAGTACAGAGAGTTGCCATCCTCTGTTGGTGGTTCTGTGGCCTCTCTGGGTGGTCTACACAGCAGCTAGACACCCGCAGCTGGCCCGGACCAGCCAACTTGGGCTGTTCCACTGTTGTGTAGCCATCCAGGCTCTAGGACCCTGCGAGGTGGGAGGGTCCCAGAGCTCGGGCTCCAGCCTGAGCCCAGAAGTCTACACAGCAATGAAACAGCCCCACTGCCCGAGTCACCTGGCAAAGTCTAGTCACCACCGGTGTCTAGTCGCTGTGGTGACATGCCCTGTGAGATGAGATGAGGCTGTGAAGGTCTCACTCTGTTTCCTGGTTGTCAAGTGCTCACCATACAAAAACCACCTAGACTGGCGTGGATTGCCCTCCTCCTTGGCAGCCTCAGCAGAGGGGGCCCAGGATGGAAAGTGACAGCCAGCCCTCCTCTTGGGAGTCGGGCATCCCTGCAGGTCCAGACTCAGAGGGGCAGCAACTTGTGGGGAGGCTCTGTTTGCGGGGAGAGGGGGTTGTCAGTGCAGCCCCTCCTCCAGGGCTACATTTCCACACTCACCACAAAGGTGATAACACAGCGCAGTCGCAGTGTGGACCCCTGTGTGGCTTGGTCATGAGACTTGATGAGCTGTTAATGCTGCCTTCCTGTTCATCCAGGGCAGATCCTGGACAGTATCATGCCTGTGTGCACCCCACACAGACACCCACTGCCTGCTGGCAGACAGCTGGACACCGGGCTCAGGGCGCAAAGAACAGCAGTGGGCGACTGCTCTGCAAGGCTGCCCTTAAAGCAGCCCCACCAGGGGAACATTAGAGTGAGGGTGGGCCTCGGGGAAGGACTTTGTGGACCTGAAGCAGGGCTGAGCACCAGGAGTTGCCTGCCTGCAGGGCAGTCATTTCTCTTCCCCTCTGGCCTTTTTTCAGAAGACGGCTGCCCCCAGAGACAGCTCTGTGGGGGGAACCATGCTGCCACAGAGCGAATGATCCAGTTTGGGCGGGAGCTGCAGACTCTGAGCGAGCAGCTGTGCAGAGAGTACGGGAAGAACACGACGCACAAGAAGATGCTGCAGGTGAGGGTGTGCCTCTGGCCGGGCTCACAGCAGCACCTGCCACATGGACCAGAGCTGGGGTTTTTCCTGCCGGGTACTGGGAGGCCGGGGGCTGTGCAGGTGGAGAGGGGTGGGAACAGCGCTAGAACCAGCAGTGGCCCTCAATAACACAGGGCGCCTGTGGCCAGCTCCCACAAGCCAATGTTCATTCTGCACTGCGGGGAGGTGCATGTCTGCCTCCGCTGCTGGCACCTCAGCCAGGAGTGAGAGGTGCATGTCTCACTCAGCAGCCCCTTGCCCAGCTGCCCTCATTTGCTGCCGGAGCTGAGGCATTCTTGTTGGCAGATGCCTGCTACCTGGCTGAGGGAACATGCCCTGGTTGACTGTTAGTCCCTCCCCTTTTTCTGCATTGCTGCTCGCCTTACTGCCCGTGTCTCTCTTCCGTCCCCAGGACGCTTTCAGCCTGCTGGCATACTCTGACCCCTGGAACTGCCCTGTTGGGCAGCAGCTGGATCCAATCCAGAGGGAACCTGTGTGTGCTGCTCTCAATAGTGCTATATTGGGTAAGGCAGGGGCCACGACACCTCTGCCGCAATCAGTCGCCCCGGGGCAGGTGCTTGGGATGTGAGGGGGCCCTCCGAATGTGTGCCTGGAGCTCCCCTTGTTCCTGCCGATTGCTCCGAGGGGTTGTGGCCTGGGACAGTGACAGCTGGGGTGACTGGGGAAGGGGAGAAGGGAAGCCAGATACCCACAGCTTTAACCCCATTCCCTGGCCAGCACACAGCTGCTGCTGCTCCTGCTCTGTTCCCCTCCTGGCTCGCACCCAGTCGCCTGTCCCAACACTCCTCTGAGGGTTCTCGTCAGGAATTTCCACCTTCGCTGCGAGGAGCTAAGCCGCCTCCAGTGCATTCCCCCTCTCACCCTGCCCCATCAGCGGACATCAGCTCTCTCCTCTGAGGTCCTTTCAGTGCAGGGATTGACCGCCACACCCCTCGGGTCTGTAGCTGACCCCACTGTCAGGGGAAGTGTGTTTCACCATCCCATCAGTAGAATTCATTTCAGTGGTGCTTGTCCTCACCTGAGGGCCTGTGGCTGGAGAGTGAAGAGGGCAGACTTGTGATTGCTTTGGGGGTTTTCATTGAACAGCCGGAGTTTCAAGCATTTAAATGAGCTTTCTTCCCCGAGAGAGGGTTCCTGAGCCTTCTTGAAAGCCATTCCCTCTCCCTTCGCCTGCCTGTAGCCAAGATTATAAACGGGCTGTGCAGCCCAGCCAGGGCTGCCCTTTCCAATCTGAGGTAGCTGGATGTGAAGTGACCTTGCTGCATGCACAGAGATCTGTCATGGGGTCTCCTCCAGCTGATTAGTTCTCGTTGTGTTCCCAAGCTGCTGGCCACCTGTGCAGCTGGGCAATTGAGGGGTTGGGTCTGGTCTTGGCCCCAGAGTTCTGGGGCCCCTCTGCATCCACAGTTGGGTGCCAGCACCTGCTGTCTGATTGGCCTCTGAAGGCCCCTTCCCCAGCCCAGCACTCCCTGCATAAGGCCTTCACACCTTGCGCATGCCCCATAGACACAGCTGCTCCAGGCTTTCCTCAGGAAGGTGGCCTTGTACTCCAGAGCCCTGATCTGCCTGAGGATCAATAGCAGGCTCTTGCTTCGCTTCTGAAGAGTCCCAAGCAAGGGAAGTCAGCCCAGAAAAAGTAGGTTTGGGCCTCTCAGCCTCTGGCCCAGGGTGGAGCCTGTCCAGACAGCAACTGGCCAATTCCCAGGGCTCGTTGGCGCAGAAACTTTCTATGGTAATGAAGCTTGTTTGCAGGCAGGATAGGGCCTGTACAGCAACAGGACCCCTTGCAGCCTGGCTTCCTCTGACGTCTTGGCAAAGGGTCAAGGGAGGGATGGTTACTCTGGCTGACAGCCACGTCATCACCCTGGGCTCTCCGAGAAGGCTGATCACTACACAGGGTCCCGTGGTGACTCATCCACCCTGCTCCCTCGTTCCCCACTGGTCTCGGCCCGTGGCTTGGCCGGGGGCTTGAAAAGCCACTTTTTGATTCTTTTAGTCACAATTTTGAAAACTAGAAAACGGGCCCGTTCTGCCAGGGCCTCAGGGAGGCCGGGTGCCTGGCCCAGCTCCCTGTACACCCAGCAGGGCGGAAGGGACTGAGCAGTGCTGCCTGCAGGGGCTGTTGTGACGTCAGCACTGAGGGCAGGGGCCTCGCCCGCTCCCAGTGCTCCACTTGCTGGTACCATCAGGGAGGAGGCGGTGGCAGAGCTGGCTCCCTCAAGGCCTTTGTGGCAGAGAAAGGAGGGTGGGAATTAGACTCTGAGGACGGGGAGCAGGGGTTGGAGCTTGATCCCCAAACTCTCTCCCTCCTCCCCATTCCCTGGTGGGGCTCAGTTTCAGCTCAGGTCAGTCTTTCCCCTGCTGGCCAAGCTCCGTGCACGATCCAGCTCCTCTGTCTCACAGAGCCATTTTTCTGGTCCTAGGAAGGCCCCATACGTTGATAGTCTGGTCTGTGTAATCCACCGCTGCGGCCGTGGTCTCTAGTGCAGCATGACGAGCAGTAACCTGAGAGCAGCGAGCTAGAGGGGAGTTAGGGCTCCAGCCCTGTACCTCTCTGCACCCTCTGTCAGACACACATGGAGGAGGTGGAATTTGGGGAAGGAAAGTTGGGGATCAGGCTGCTGACAGCCACATGGGGCTGCCTCAGTATCAGCAGCAGGGCAAGGTGCTTGCCCTGTTTGCTCGCCCACTGGAGGAGATGAGCAGTTGCTGAAGGATGTGGCCTGAGGGACTTGTCCCCAGACATGCTGTGTGCATCCTGTGATCCTTCTGACACCTTTACTAGGCTGGTAGCACCAAGCGTCCTCCTTTGCTGGTACGCCTGGCTGAGGTCTCAGCAGAGGCACAGAGCTGGCTGGAGTATTTCCCCTCCAGAGAGATGAGCAACATAAAACTGGAGAGGACACTTGAGAAAATGAAGGACTCCAGATCCATGGCTAGGCCCGAGGGGGCTTGTACTGCAGGCTAGACGCCCATGAGTGGGAGCAGACAGCGGCCACCTTGGAGAAGGTCACTAACTAGCATCCCACCTTGCTTCTGCCTCTGTGTTCTGCTCTCCTGGGTCTCAGGGGTTCAGTGGCTGGAATGGGCTGCGCAGCCCCATAGTCTCCCTTGGACTCAGACTGGCAGCTCCAGTGGTTGCTTGTTGGCCCACGCAGCACTGCTTCCCAAAGGTCCTGCTGCCTTACGCTGCTGGGGGGCGCGTCCGGCGAATGTGGGAGTGAATCTGTGCAGGGACAGCACTCTGGCAGGGACAGCGTGAGCAGCTCGGCAGTTCTTTGTAGCAGCTGGCCAGCCTGTGCTCTGCTCGCTGTCGAGGGAGCACTTAGGTAGGCCGCTCTGGCAAGGTGCCGTGCTCAGCCTTCCATTCTGAGGCGCTTTCTTCTCTCTTCCCCACAGAATCTCAGAACCTGCCAAAGCAGCCCCCGCTGATGCTTGCCCTGGGCCAGGCCTCCGAGTGTTTGCGGCTCATGGCTCGTGTGGGCTTGGGTTCCTGCTCCTTTGCCAGAGTTGACGACTGTTTGCACTAGCCACCAGAGGAGATGGAGTGACGTCCTCCAGTGCTGCCCTTCACCCTCCATTGCCACCACCGCCTCTTCCCTCGCCTGACCTCCCTGCTGCCCGGCCCCCCCCCGCCCCGGGAAGAGACAGAGCGCTGACTGAGTCAGTCCCTCCGCACCAGGCGTCCTCGTCACGTGCCGTTGGCGGAGCCGGGCAGCGGCTGGCAGACCTCTCCCATCTCCCCACCGTCACCGCGGCTGCAGCAGCACTCAGTATTTCGCTGGTTAATCTAATGTAGAGCCTTCCGATTTAGGTCTTTCTCTTTATTTTTTTCTGACTGAGCCACCAGTATTTATATCTGGAGAGTTTGTGCTGAGCTGGTTTCTGCTAATTTAGTGATAAAGCTCATCCACCTGGGTGACAGCTTCTTATTTTCTTAAGTAAAAAAGATCTATACCCGTCCCCACACATGAACATCCAGTATTTATCTCCAGTGCTAGTGACCTGAGCTCTTCCCCAGAGGGCAGCTCAAGGTGTTTATTTGGATCCCATTCATTAAAAAGGTCTCTTCCACCTCAGCCAAGGCATTCATGTATTTATTCCCCACAGCCCAAGCTCTGTTATTTCCCCCCCCCCCCCCCCAACAGTCACTTTAGGCTTCATCCTGGGAACTGAAGGATCTCTGGGCTTCACCAGTTCTGCCCCTTCAAGAGCCCGGGGCTGGTCCTTTGCTGACCCTGTGAAGGGCCAGGCTAGTGCAGTGGGAGACATTGCCTTGTTCCTCATGTCAGTGGGATAGGCTGCGAATGCACCTCCAGCCCTGGAACAGCCAGCCTTCGGGCATGGAGAGCACCTCGCTGTGGTTAGAGGCTGGAAAAGCAGAGGGAGTTGGAAATCACCAGGTTTGGATGAGCCCCTGGCACTAACCTCTAAGGAGCAGCTGCTAGGGCTGCCTGAGCGAAGGGTTTGCTGTGTGTTCCATTACGGAGCCCCGTTCTCTGCGGGTTAGGCCACGTTGGTATAGCTGGGATCTGGGCTGCATCCCCCAGCTAGAGCTCTGCTAGGAATCTTTACTGATCACCCATCCCAGACGTCCAGATGGCTGCTTGGATATGCCAGGTGTCCATTGGGAGAATTGACCTGGAAGTATGGAGTGTGCTTGTATCACCCCCAAAGCTTGTAAATGTCAGGTTTTTACAGGCTGTGTGTGTGGACCAACAGCATTATAGACTGCAAGATTTTAAATACATGACAGCCAGGCCATTACATTTAAAGGCAGCAGCTCTGTTCTCATAAGGATTGTAGAGTAAATACTGAGTTTGGAGCCACACAGTGACCCCAGCAAGGAGCTGTGACGGCTTAACACCAGCGGAGGATGAACTGGTTCAGCAGTGCTGTCAAAGGCGACCTCACAAGCGCGGCTAGACATGTTGAATTACAAGCGTGCGTGTGCGCGGCTAACGATACCCAACGGCTTCACGCACTGCATGTTTGTGTCTGGGTGCCGTTGCTGACGGAGAGTAGGGTATGGTGTGACCGAATGTGGCAAGCAGTCTGCCTGCCCTCCCACAGATCTTTGCAAAGGGGAAATGGGGTTTGCCGCACTTGTCTCTGCTGCTTTTTCTGTGTTTAATTTGAAATTTTTTCATACGGGGAAAATGAAAAATAAAATTTGTTCAAATTCACTAATGCCAAGTGGAGGGCATTCAGGCTCAGAATCCTCGCCAGCCCCTCCGTGGGCTCCATGCTGGGAGTGAGCTTACACAACGTGCTGGGGAAGGAATGCGCTGTGTGCTTAGCTCCCGGCTGTATGTTCAGCACCACGAGTGGAGGCTGCAGGTGGAGCAGGAGACCCTGGGGCACCTCTCTGCTGAAGCCCAGACCCTGCGTCATTACTGCTTCTGCTGATGGGGTAGCAAATGCTTGAGGGCCCGGCGGAGGAGGGGTTGGATGCTGCCTACGGTGGTGGTGAGGGATCCTTTGCAGACAGAACTGGAAGGGGGAGAGTGGGGGAAAGCAAGGGGGTGATGGTTCCATTGTGAAATCATAACCAATGTGTAAATGGCTAGTGCCACCTGTTGATAAAAATGTGGAATTGAAAATGCGTCTTGTGTAGGTGCACAGACTGACCTAGGGAGGAATCTTCCCGCAGCCTCATCACCAACCGCTGGGCCTGGCTTGTACAGTCCAGTAAAAACAGCCGCCAGGGGTTGCTGCATTGGCATCTGCTAAAGCCAGCCTGGCGTTAGAACTTGTAGCCATAGTATCTCTTACAGCAGACCTACTTTCCAGCGCCCAGTCTAATTCCTCTCTTGGCCTGGGGTTTGCCAGTTTGGGTGAGGTAAGTTGGGTCTACACTTACTTACCTAACCATGTACCCCAAGGATGGGGACAGCCCCAGTGGCTGGTCAGCTTTACCTGTTTCCGTCCTGGCTTGCAGCTGGCCTCTCTTCCCACCTTTGTAACAACGTCACCACTTCCTTTGCAAAGATTCCCTGGAGGTTGTGCTTTTTGCTACTCAGTACTGTAGAGGTTCCACTTCCTTTAAGCAGTGCCTTTTTTTTGTCATTGTGCAGCTGTCCCCTTGGGTCCCTGTGTTGGCCTTGCACCATGGATCATTTTCTTCCTTGGCAGAATTGTTCGAAAGCTTCTTACTCCACAGTTGCATTTACTCTTCCAGAGCAGTTGTTTTATCTTCAGTTTCTCATTCATTACAGGTAAAGCATCTAAATGCTCTTGGGCTAAGACTTCTGGTAGCTTTTCTGGGGTATCTGGAGATGCAATGGACTGGCCTCTCCATGTCTTCAGCCAGTTCTCCTACGTGTTATTCACGTTGGATAAGCCATCCTTGTGTTGCATTCCAGTCAGTTCCATGTCCAACTCCACGACTGGTTATTGCAATTGTGAATACTCAGCCGTTTCTCCTGTCCGCCTGCGGCATAGTAAGGGCAGATCATTGAGCCTGGTATCAGGAAACAGTGCTTCTCTTCCTCTCTTCTGTTGCTCTGCTTATCTCCAATTCAAGATCCTCCAGGCTGATTTTTCCTTCATCCCTGACCCGTCTCTGAATTGGCCATGTAACCGACTGACTCTGCAGCTCTTGCTCTCAAGTTCTAGTACTTGGAAGCTTGGTTCTGGCTCCTTGGGTTAAAGGAATATTATGACTCTTCTGTCACAAAAGCAGTTTTCTTAATGACTCTAGGTTGCCATTCAATCTCCAGTTGCTTCCGTACATTTCCTAGCTCTTTCTCCAGTTTGTGGTGAGTTCTTGGTGTATATTCGTATGCACTTGGTAGCAGTTTTGTACATTTCTTGACTCGCTGGGGAAGGCTGTATTATTTACAATGTTTGTTTTTTGCATTTATTCTTGGTGAGGTCTTTCACTTCGGCCCTGTCTTGCCTTCCTTTCCATCAGCATTTCTAAAACCCCGAAGACATTCACTGTCAGGTGTCGGGGCTGTTCCTGTGACCTCTTTGGAAATGCTCCCTAATAGCACCAGGTGTTAGGGAAAGAGTTGAACACTCTTCAGAAATACTCTTCAGGAGCCGTCTTCAGTCTCCAAGACTTGTAACTTGACAAAAACAACCGGTGACCAATAAGAAGGTAGGATTTGTCACTCCGTATGAGTCCGGGATCCTGCTGCTGGTGGTGGCCAACAGTGGGTGTTTCAGAGAGGCCAAAAAATACCCCGTAATGCAACTGGTTGATTGTGAATTTTCCCCTGACTCCTGCACCATCTGTGTTACATTCCGTGTATTTCGTGGTGCGTGACCCATTCCCTGTCGGTGCATGGAGGGGCAGATACCCAATACAATCGAATGGTGAGATGCGTGTCACTGGAGAAAATGGAGCCTGAACTGCAGCCGACGTTCCCCTTTGCCTACCGCCCTCGGTGCCACGTTACCACTGGCTGCTCCGCAAGAGTGTTAAGCTTCTTGCCAACACTTCCTCTGGGGCCTCTCCCAGCCTCCGTTCTTCTCCAGTGACTTACTGCAGAGTTAACAAAGTTACCCCAAGTATAAGCTAAATAGAAAGTACAAGCCTAAAATCCCATGTTTCCGAATGTGGTCCAGCAATAACCGTTCAAGAACCATTCTCCGTTGTATCCCTAGTTGGTCTTATGCAGACTAGCAGGGAAGCTGCTTCATTCTCTGCTTTCCCCAGGAGGTGGTGGCAGCAGTTTCACGTTCGCCCCATGTGTCAGACCAGCTGCCGTTTGGAGTCCGCTGATGATGCCCATCACGTGTTGTGGTTCCATATCCTCCCCTGTCATGGTGCTGATCGGTGGCTCCTGGCTGAGTGACCGCACCATACTCTCGTCTGTCGTTTCCTGTGTGTGGAGACAATATTTGTGTGTCCATTATTTCCTCACTGGGCCTTAGTGGGGTGGAACAGATCGGGTGACTGACACAGTATGAATAGTAATTACAGTAAAATTTGTTTTATCCGGCTCTTGACCAGCCAGAAAGCTCTATAAACCAGCATTTCTGATCTTCACTGAAAGTCCGGTTTATAGTCCCGTTGGTGCGGGGCTGGCAGGGGGTTGGGGCACGGGATGGGGTGCGGAGTGCAGGCTCTGGGAGGGAGGTTGGGCATGGGATGGGGCTCGGGGGCTCGGACCTCTCCCAGCTGCTCCTAGGCAGGGGTGCGGCGGGCAGCTCTCCATGCTGACTCCGCCTGCAGGCACCGCCCTTGCATCTCCCAATGGCCACAGTTCCCAGCCAATGGCAGCTGTGAACCTAGCACTCTGGGCAGGGCAGGGGCAGCGTGCAGAGCCGCCTACCGCACCTCCACCTAGGAGCAGCTGGGACAGGCCGCCACTTGCAGGGAGCTGCCCAAGGTGACCGGCCCCTGGATCCGGCACCCCGAGCTCCCTCCCGAGCCGAAACTCCCTCCCAGAGCCCACGCCCCGCACCACTTCTTGCACCCAAACTCCCTTCCTCTTGATTAACCAGCATTTTTCACTTACCGGCATCCCCCCTACTCCCAACATGCCGGATAAAACAGCTTTTACTGTAGTGTGAATTTTAACAGCACGGGCATCCTTCATTTGGTTAGGGGTCCATTGTGCACATAACCGAATTTCCCCACTCTCGCCCCTGGTCACTTGCCTCCTAGATGCAAATCTCCATACAGAGCACTTTAAAATGTACCTTGGTGGGCAGGTAACTGCAGGGGCTCCGGAGCCGTTCCCATGTAACCGCGGATCAGTCTGTAACACGGCAGCCTAGCAACCTTCAGTGTGCATGAAAAACATCACAGCTGAGTTGGGCCTGCTACTGCATCTGTGTGGAGTAAATGGTGTTTGAAATGTCCAAAATCGTACCGTCCTCATCACAGGCAAATGGGCTATGAAATCTGTCCTTTGAGCAGCTGGGATGGAAAAATGGCTCAAACTAGCTTCTTTTTCCCTACGAAAAAAAGAATAAAAAATATTACTCTGTGCAGAGAACAGCACGCGGCCGGCCTGGAGAGCCAGAACAGAGAGCTCAGGGAACGCCGTCTGATCTCTGGGCACACTGCAGGAATGACTGACTGTCTTCCATGGTCAAGCTCAGAGAGAGCCTCTAAGTCGTTGAATAACAGGCCATGCTGAGACCTCTTCGCTCTAGTGGTGCAGCCAGGCCCCACCATGATACACGCTCCCAATCGCACCTTTCCAAAGGGTCTGCAGCTAATTGTGTAAAATCCCCTTGCACTCCTCCATAGCAGCACCAGAGGGTTGCAGTCCTTCAAGCACTTACCCAGATGGCAGCCCAGAAGGGATGTTTATCCCTGGAGCAAGCATACTGGAGTGACTCTGGTTTGCACGGACCGCTGGGGTAAGCTGAAGATGCTGCTGAAGTGCACAGCTCGCTCGTTTCATGCTCCCTAGTAGAGGGACCCGTTGCATACAGCCCGGTGCAACGAGCTTTCACTGAAGGGGGTTTGCACGTGGGCGTGTGGCAGCTTCCTCCGAGGGGCTGGCTTGAGAACCCGGAGCCGTGGGGAAGGTGCCCTTTCGGTGGCTCTGCGCAGGGAGCGTAGTGGGGCATAGTCGCCTCACCTGCTCTCCTCGGGGGACGGGTTCACCCTGACTTCCTTTGCTGGGGAGAGAGGCGCCGTCAGAATCCCCCGCTGGGCACTACGGTGCTGCGCTTGCAGCTCTGGGCTCAGGAGAGCCCCAGGCTGGAATTGCGGCCGCTGCCGGTCAGGATTAAAGGTCATTGGCAGTGGGGGGCAGGACTGAGGGGTGTTGCCAGAGTTTGGGTGTGGGGTGGGGAGCTGGATTGAGGGGCATCAGCAGAGAGTGGCAGAGGTGGCATGCCAGCTTCCCCGATCTACATTGTTTGGCTAGTGGCACCATGGCATCAGGAGAGGTAGGGAGGAGCCGGGAGAGGATGGCTTGGGGACCAGTCAGAATTTACACTGTAATCCCAGAGCGCTCTCCTGGCTACGTCTGAGCGCTGGCCCCACTCGTGGCTTTTCTCCCCTTGTTGGCTCGGTGGCGTACACGGAATAACCCGGTGGGGTCAGGGTCTCAGGTGGGCTGTGAGCCGATCAGCGTGCAGGGAACTGAGAGCTTCCTCCTTCGCAAGGATCCTGCCCACCGCTGGTGTGAGTGTCTCTGCAGTATAGGTAACTCCTCAAACCTGCTTCCCTGCGTTTCTGTGCCCATGGCGTTGTGCTGTTGGTCAGGGGATG